TTATAGGTGTGAGACACTGTGCTCAGCTAAAGTCCATATAAAGCGTATAGTTGGATCTTGTTTTTAATCCAGGTTGACAGTCTCTGTCTCTTAATTGGAGTGCTTAGTGCATTGACATTTAATGTAATTATTGTTATGCCTGGATTTGGTTTCTACCATTTTGCTGTTTTCTATTTGTCTCACTTTATTTGTTTCTCTGTTTTTTTTTCTTTCTTGCCAGTTAGAAACCTTACAATATTGAGCTTGGCCTGGAAGCTCATACCTGTAATCCCAGCACATTGGGAGGCAAAGGCAGGAGGATTACTGGGGCCTAGGAGTTTGAGACCAGCCTGAACAACATAGTGAGACCTCATCTCTACCAAAAAATTAGCTAGGTGTGGTTGCTTGTGACTGTAGCCCCAACTACTGGGGGAACAAGGGGAGCTGGTGGGGGGATGTTAATGCACTGCTTGACACAAAAAAAGAAAAAAGAAACTTTACAGTATTAAATAGTGTTTGCTTTAGACAGTCTTAAAGAGAAATTAGGTCGCTGTTTCTATTTACTCATCTACAGAGGATGCCAAAAAAGTATACATGTTTTAAGAAAGGAAAAAACTAGCCGGGCTCAGTGGCTCAACCTGTAATCCCATGCTTTGGGAGGCTGAGGTGAGTGGATTGCCTGAGCCTGCGGGTTCGAGACCCACCTGGGCAACTTGGCGAGACCTCATCTCTACAATAAATAAATAAAAAATTAGCCGGGCATGGTAGCATGCACCTGTAGTTCCAGCTACTTGGAAGGCTGAAGCAGAAGGATCGCTGGAGGTCAAGGCTGCAGTGGCCGGGAGCGGCCACTGCACTCCAGTCTGGGTGACAGAGTGAGACTCCAACTCAAAAAAAAAGAAAGGAAAAAACTATATTAAAATTGTAATACTTAACATATCAATAACAAAAGATAAATACAAGTCACATTTGACTTCTACAATTGCAAGAGGTGCTCAAAGTAGTTACCATCAGTGTCCCGACACTTCTGATTACGGCAAACTAAAAGTAATACATAGATAACATCATTTATAATGTGTAGACTTTTTTTTGGCACCCTCAGGGATCTTTACTTCTGAGAGTTACCATCTAGTGTTATTTTCCTTCAGCTTCAGAATTTTAGCATGCATTGTAGTGCAAGTCTGCTGGTGATGAATTATCTCAGCTTTTGTGTTTGAGCATATCTTTATTTTGTCTTCACATTTGAAGTATTGTTGAATATAGAATTCTGAGTTGACAGAATTTTTTCTTTCAGTTCTCAAAAGATGTTATTCCATTGCCTTTGACATTTATTATTTCTGTGCAGAAATTAGTCATCATTTGTATCAGTATTCTGTATGTAATATATCTTTTTTTTGTGATTACTTTCTTTTTTTTTTGAGTCGGAGTCTAACTGTCGCCCAGACTGGAGTGCAGTGGCCACTGCAGCCTCGACCTGCTGGGCTCCAGTGATCCCTCCGCCTCAGCCTTCCAAGTAACTGGAACTATAGGCGCGTGCTACCACACCCGGCTAATTTTTTGATTTCTTGTAGAGATGAGGTCTCACCAAGTTGCCCAGGCGGGTCTCAAACCTCCCAAGGCACGGGATTATAGGCTGAGCCACTGAGCCCGGCTTCTGATTGCTTTCAAGATTTTTGTCTTTTCTTTACATTAGCAATTTGACTGTGGTTTGCTTTGGGATTGTTTTCTTATTTATCCTGCTTGGCATTTATTGAGCTTCTTGGATCTGTAGGTTGATATCTTTCTCTGGTTTTGGGCAGTTTGGGACCACTTTTTTTTTTTTAATGTGTGTGACCCATTTTGTTCTCTCTAGTTAAATGTCATTAGCTTGCTAGATTTGTCATACAGTTTTCTAGACTCTATTCAGTTTTTTCTTCAGTATTTTCTTCAGATTGACTCATTTCTGTTCATTTAGCTTCAAGTTCACTGACTTTTTTCCTGCATCTTGTGCTGTTAAACCCATGCAGTGAACGTTTTCTTTCTTTCTTTTTTTTGAGTCAGAGTCTCACTGTGTTACCCAGGCTGGAGTGCAGCTGCATGATCATGACTCATTGCAACCTTAACCTCCTGGGCTCAGGCAATCCTTCTACCTCAGCTTCCCGAGTAGTTGGGACTACAGGCATGTACCACCACATCCAGCTAATTTTTTTTTGTAATGACGCAGTCTCTCTATGTTGCCCAGATCAGTCTTGAACTCCTGGGCTCAAGTCATTCTCCTGTCTCAGCCTCCCAAAGTGCTGGGATTACAGGCATGATTCACCAAGTGTGGCCTGGCTTTTTTCTTAATAAAACATTATTTTATTATGATAAGATACCCCTAATGTAAAACTCACTATCTTAACCATTTTTAAGTGTATAGTTCAGTGATATTAAGTACATTTACACTGCTGTGCAACTATCACCGCCAACCATCTCCAGAATGCTTTTCATCCTGAAAAATTGAAATTCTAAATAATTGACTCTTTTTTTATAGCTTCTGTTTCTCTGTTTGCCCCTCTTTGTTCCTGATTCATATGTTTTCCTTTAAGTGCTATTAAGTTCCTGTCTACTATTTGCAACATCTGGGTCACCTTGGTGTTGGTTTTAATAGATTGCTTTTTTCTTGAGTGTGGATCATAGTTTCTTTTTTCTTAGCATGCCTACTTTTTATTGAACATTTGACTTTATGAATGATAGATTATAGAGAGTGTGGATTCTGTTATGATCTTCCAGGAAGAATTTGTCTTAGCAGGTACTTAATATGGCAAGACTTAGCCTGTCTCTCTTGCATTAACTGGCAGTTGAAATCTCCAATCAGTTCTTTGAGTTTCCAGTTGCTGCTTTTTTTTGCTGAGCCCCCTGGGATTTCCAGTCAAGGTTGTAGCCTATTATATTTTAGAGTTGGGAGGCTCATCCCATATGTGACTTGATCCCTTTCAGAGTTTCTTCTTGATGTTCTAGCTGCCCTTCCACCTTTGAACTCTGTCTTCTGTCACCTTGAACCATGTCTTATAGGGATTGGCATGTGTCCTTAGATAGAAAAGCTACAGATTTACAAATTTCATCAGATATAGTTCTTCTTTTATTTTTTTTTAATTTTATTTTAGGCGTGGGGTACAATTCAGGGTTAGGTATACAAGTGGATATCATGTAGGTAAAGTTTGGGCCTCCCTTTGGTCCCCATTTTGCCTGGTTTGAGACCAGGTACCCTTATTGATGTTGTGTCCCCTCCGCCCAGTTCTTTTCAAGGACAGACTCTTTTTCCATTTCTCCCTGCTTTTGGTCGTTCTCCAGTGCCTTCAAATAATTGTAAATATGTTGTCCAAATTTTATAATTGTTATCTCTGGAAGGATGTCACAGTTGGAAGCCAGATGCCAAGTAGGTGTCAAGCAGGTATCTTTTGGTGTTTACATTCAAATGCTTCCCTTGTTCTCAGCCTTGTGTTCAGCTGTGCTGTAGAAACAGGGCTTTTTCTCAGCCCATTTTCAGCTGAGGAGCAGGGGGGGCACAGGGAGCCTCCTCCCTTAGCTCAGGCTGCTGTAACAAAATATCATAGGCTGGGCAGCTTAAACAAAAAGAAATTTATTTCTCACAGTTCAGAAGTCCAGAAGTTCATGAAAGGTGCCAGCAGAATTGGTTTCTGGTAGGCCTCTCTCCTTTCTTGCAGATGTCTGCCTTCTTGCTGTGTCCTCACATGATTTTTTTCCTGAATACTTGTATGCCTGGTGTCTCTTCTTATAAGGACACCAGTCTTGTTGGATTAGGACCCCATCCTTATGACCACATTTAACTTTAATTACCTCCTGCAAGGCTCTGCCTCCAAATACAGTCACATTGGGGGTTAGATCTTCAACATACACATTTTGGAAGGACATAGTTACATTTATAACAGATTAATCTAATCTCTGGATGGTATGAGAGAGGTAGGGAAGGCAAACTATGTTGTACAAATGGTATCAGGACACGCTTACTCAGTCATCATATAAGTGCAGAATACCTCCTCTTTTCCAGGTTTAGCATGAAGGACTAAGGATTTAGTTACAGACGAAATTGGCCCTGGTCCTGCCCTCACAGAGCTCGCCATCTAGGGAGATAAGAAGATATATAGACAGTGACACTGCAAAGTGATGAAGTAGGGGACATATAGGACTCCCTGGGAGTGCTGAGGAAGGGGCACTGAAATAAAGGTGGGAGTCAGCGAAGGTTTCCTTAAGGAAATGTCTTTCTTTTTTTTTTTTTTTTTTTTGAGTTGGAGTCTCACTCTGTGGCCCAGACTGGAGTGCACTGGCCGCTCCCAGCCACCACAGCCTCGACCTGCTGGGCCCCAGCAATCCTTCCGCCTCAGCCTTCCAAGTAGCCGGAATTACAGGTGCGCGCTACCACACCCGGCTGATTTTTTGGTTTATTGTAGAGATGAGGTCTCACCTGCCCAGGCGAGTCTCGAACCTGCGGGCTCACCTCAACCTCCCAAGGCGTGGGATTACAGGCTGAGGCACCGAGCCCGACTGAGGAAATGTCTTTCTAAACTAAAACCAGAATGATAGGTTAAGAGTCGGCTGTGGAAGAAAGTGCTTCAGGCCAGGCACAGGGAATGACAAATGTGAGAGACTCCAGGGTTGCGAAAGGCATGCTGGAAAGACAGAAGGTCGCTTAGTAGAGCTGGAGCTGGAGGAATTGGGGAAGTGGAGTGCTGAGGGATGAGGCTGGAGAGCTGGGTTGGGGCCGGCTTACTTGTTGAGTTGTAACTGCTTATCCTTCCAGGAGTAAACTCCTTAAAGACAGTAAACAAGTCTCCTTCAGTTTGGAGTCCTCTACTTGGCAGAATAAGCACATAGAAAGTGTTTACAGGTGCCCTTTATGATTTGAGGGGGTAGGCGGAAAGCTTGAGTGGGCAGTGACCTCACCTCCTTGGTAAGGCAGGTAAGGATTTGGAGGTTGTCGACCGTCTTTGGCTGGACCCTGCTCCTGCACACGGGGTCACATGGTATTTTGTTGTTGTTAGGCCTGGATAGCGAGTCCGCCTCTAGCAGCATCCGCTTCAGCAAGGCCTGCCTGAAGAACGTCTTCTCGGTCCTGCTCATCTTCATCTACCTGCTGCTCATGGCCGTGGCTGTCTTCCTGGTCTACCAGACCATCACGGACTTTCGTGAGAAACTCAAGCACCCTGTCATGTCTGTGTCTTATAAGGAGGTGGATCGCTATGATGCCCCAGGTAGAGCCTGCCCCTGAACCAAGCATGACGGCCCTGGATCTGGGGTTTTGGTGGGAGATACTCCTTGAGCTGCCATTGTTTTTCCAGCACAGTGCTGGCCACTATGGGCAGGGCAGAGGAATCCGAGCATAGTCTAAGTGCAGAGTACGTACCCAAAGAGCCACCATCAGGACCCAGCCAGGTATGTTATGTGCTGAGGTGGGACATGGGCAGAGCCTGGAGTGGGTACTGCAGAATTGGAGTGGTCAAGGATAGCTTTGCAGAGAGAGAGTATTTGAACTGGGCTTTGAAAAACCATAGATGGGGGCAAACTTCAGGTCCCCTCCTGCTCTGGTAGCTTTTCTGTCCTATCAAGAAATCCTGCTTTCTAAAAAAAAAAAGTCAGATGGGAAGAGAGTGTTTCTGGGAAGGAGGCCAGCAGGAGCAAAGGAGAGTGGAGGGAGACAAAGGGCTTCTCTAGAGAGAATGGAACTAGCCCAGCTGGGGCCAGAGGCCAGGGATGAGGGGAAGTGAGAGCCAAGGCAGGACTGTGGGGTGGGGAGGATAGCAGGGTGCCACCTCTGAATGGTGAACTCCCAGGCCACGCCACGTATACCTTTCTTTTTTTTTTTTTTTTTTTTG